GCAGGTAAATACAAAAAAAAAAGAAAAAAAAAAAGAAAAAAAACCCAAAAAGCAACAACAACAGCGAAATTGACGTCAGAAAGTCAATCCGGGGTTCCCTGTGCTAGCTGAGGAACTGGACATGAACTGGCTAAGATCCCTTCACTGGTCCAGGGAAGGGGAGAGAATGAGGCACTGGGAGAGGCAGGCGGGGGCGATGGACGATCTGCGCTTCCCACCACGGCCACCCCACTGCAGCCTGAGCTCCCTCCACTGCGCAGTGAGGGCCACACCACCACCCAGCACAGCACAGCACACCGGAGAGAGAAAGAGTTCCTGTCTGCCAAGTCTTGCGCGCTGAGCAGTGACCCAGAGAAGCTCTTTGAAAAGTCAAAAGTTCATCGTCTCCCTGGGACTCTGGATGCCAAGCAACATCTGGAGCCAACTTGAGCCAGTCCTCTGAAACAGATAAGCATATTGCCTGTGTCATCGTTTTCTCCAATTAATAATTACTGAAAGTGCGTAGGAATCTCAGGGAGGAATGAGGAAGAGGGAAAGAAATGGAGGAGACTCTACATGACAGCCTGTATCCCAAAGCCTGTGGGTGACTCTGGGTGGACAGGCAGGCAGGCAGGCCTAGAAGTGGGAAGCTCCCACTAGACCTGGGTTACGCTTCTCTAAATCTTACTCCTGGCATGCCCTGCCTTGTGTATCTGCCTGTAAGCTTCTATAGACAGGCTCAGAGCTTGGGAGATAATCTATAGCCAAAATCAAGAGGGAAACTGGGATCGGAGCATGACCATAATCACTTAACTCCTGGGCCAACATGGGCAAGTTACTGACCCTCTCTGTGCTAGTTTTCTCATCTGTGAAATGAGGATTACCAGAGTGCCCATAAGAAAGGGCTACAGTGATGATTCCGTGGGTGACTATTCAGAGTAATAATCGTGAACAACTGATCATCTCTGCATTCTCTTTCTCCTCATCCTCCTCTCTGAAGAAAGGTAAATCACTGCCTTGACTCTAAGCATCAGCAGATAGTACAGAAACCCACCTTAATAACTGAGGCAAAAAAAAAAAAAAAATCTTAGCTAACCCTCAAGTTGGCCCTAACTACAGGAACACAGACCGCTCCCTAGCACCCATGGAACCAGATCCTTCCAGCCTTCCCTCCCCTATGAGCCATGAAACCTTAGACTAGCTTTCTCCCCAGAACTAAGGCTCACCCATTCTGTATTTCCTTACCTTCTACAAAGTATAAATGAAAAGCCACACTGTTCAAAGAGCCATGTCTAGAAGTTTGGTGTCTCTACCTCCCTCCCCCTCTTTATACATATGTGTGTGTATATATATATATTTATTTATTTATTTAAAGTCTGCAGAAAGCCTCTGGTAAGTCCTCTAACGTTCCAAAACACACCCATATTAATGGGATTTATCAAAGTACCGTAAACGAATTGCCACAAACGAACAATTGCTACGGAGTCAAGCTGTCTACAGCACAATGTCATTTACGCACATCACAGGAGATGAGTGAACCCGCGGTGCAGAAGATCAAAGGAAACCCTGGGACTGTTGTCTCTACGTACAGGGCACCACTGAAAATCTTCTTCATGAGACTGTTTAGGGGGAAATAGAAGAATCATTTGTTTAAATGAAAACTCCCGCATGTGCTGAATTTCAAAAGCTGYGCGCATTTTCACACACTCGCCTCTTAGACGCAGCTGAAATTACTTCCAGTTCCTATTTTTTTGAAGGTCTTACAGGAATAAAGGTCTTGCTGAGATTTCATTGAGTGGCGGTTCAGCTCTTGGTTTCCAAGGTGCCCAAGCTTTGGGGGGAGGGAGGGAATCCCCATGATGCACCCACACAGCATCCGGGCTCCTCCACCTCACCCTCTCCACCCCAGGTCCTGAAGAGGAGGCTCAGGTGGGCAGTGCCCTCCAACGTCCCAGCTACCCTTCCCTCCACGCATCCTAGGTCACCGTCTGTCAGCCCTGAAATGCAGTCCTCTCCCACCTGGGTCCAGCTCTTTGCCAGACACAGGAACCCAAAGCCCAATTTCCATGATCACTTTTATTCCAATGACTCCTCCAAATTGACTGCAACCATTTTATTCCCACCCTCCCTACTGTCTGCCTGGCTCCAGAAACTCAGATATAGGCCAGCACCTGTGTTTCCACCAGGGTGGCCTGGTCAGTAACATACTGAGCACTTGCTGGTGACTTGCTGGCTGTCCTTGGGTTCCATCCATCAGCTCCCACACCAATGCCATCCAGCCCCCAGAGATCAGCTCCAGTGATCCTCTTCTGCAGCCCTCCCTGGTCCCTCTTCTGAATTCCTCCCCTGTTAGACGTCCCCAGAAAGTGCAACCCACCCGCTTCTGCCTTGTGTTCGTTATTTCAGAACATTCCCTCTTTCCCCTGCCTGGCCATGAAGATGATAACCTCCTTCCGGCAGCTCTTACTCATTTCCATTTCTACAGCACCGTGAAGTCATTTAAAACACATACATACACACACACACACACACACACACACACACACACACACACACAATATGAATAAATGAATGAATCATTTCTTTACAGAGATAGTAACTGTGAACTAGTTAGGTCATAACTTGCTATAGCTATATCGTATTTATAAAATGACTAAAACCAGAAATAATTGTCATCCAGGCTTTCATTTAAAAAAAGAAAAAAACTTAATGAACATAACTGAGTACAACATGAATGATACCGTTCCCCTGCCCACATTTAGTCATCTGTCACGAGGACTGTAATGAGGCCATTATTTATGCCAAATGTTTAGATAATGCGTATAAGCTTCCTTTAAATGCAATCACAGAAAATGTCAGCTGCTAAAAATTCAAGGTGACTTTGCACTATTTTGTCAGCAATACAATATGAGTATTCATAAGACGGACTTGCTTATTAGACTAGAAACACGTGAGTCTCTTCTCCAAGAGCTGCACGTGACCCAGAGGTAGGAATTCTTGCTGGTTTCTTCACAATAAAATTCTTGAGATACTTTTTTATGACCAACGACTCTCTTTATAAATACCACAGGTTAAAAAAATCATTGCATATGTATTCACCCTATATGCAACGGAACCAGATTCCCCCCAAACTGCAATGTGAGGATTTTCCTCCTGGCATCTAACTGCTAAATGGGGACACCACTGAGCAGGAAATCAACAGGAAGGCACCCACCCTTCCCATTAGCTGACACCTGTAGCCCTTAAGAAGCTTATCCCTGCAGTTACTCTACATTATTCTCTTTCCATTTAAAGAGCACCTCTCTAATCCACAGCCCATAAAATGTAATAAACCTAGTTCCATAATTCACAAGAATACAATGTCGGTGACAGCTCCCTCTCTCCTCCATCTTGTCCCCCAGAGGACTCCGCCAGCTCCCCTTTTTGAGGCTTAGTGCCTATGTCACTCAGGGCTTTGTTTTCACTCAGACCACAAATAACCATTTATGCCCACAATTCATCAGTTCATCTTATAACAAAAAAAAATCGTAATTTTTAAAAAAAGCAAACACATGCATATACATCCTACCACAATAAGGGAGTGGTGAAATCCAGAATTTACAATTTAGAAAAAAAAAAATAGAAGGCACACTGGCTTTGCAGAGTTGCAAATGTCGACAGGGTTGGTCCAAAGACCAAGGTCTAGGTATATTTACCTGTTCCTAGTCATGTATGGTCTGAAAAAACAAGCCCAGTATAAGCACCCTGCCCAGAGACAAGTTACCTGCTCACAGTGGAGGCTGATGTTAACAGTCCCGAGCCACTGGCCAAGCACCACTCCACCCAACAGTACATCCATCATTTCCTCCATCCTCCTGGCAGCCCTGTGTGCCCTCTGCATCTTACTCACAAGGAAACTGAGGTGTGGGAAGGATGCAGGACTGGTCGAGGTCAGAGCAGGGCCTCCCAATTTTAAGCCCAGATGGGCTACTTTCAGAACTCTGGGCTCTGAGAGGCCATGGAATTCATCAGTAACTTAACTGATTTTAAGAGTAGAGAAGGAGAAATGGGGTGAATCGTTCTCAAAATGAACATTCTCGAAAAGCAAATACCCACCTCTGGGCAAATGTGAGGTTTGGTAAAAGTAGACAGTGCTTCTCACCAACTAAGGAAACAGACCGTTCCCAAACCCATGCAGCATCAACACCTGGAAGAGTAATGAGTTCAGGGAACCAGCAGGGAACATTTTGACTCAGGAGTTCCAGGGTGGAGCCCCAATTTCTCCCTAGGTGATTCTGCTGCCTACCCAGGCTTGGGAACCTCTGATCTAGCCTCTTTCCACAGATTCCAACAGGACTGCTCCCAAGGCAAATAGAAATTGATCTCCTATTTTCTATTTCACAATCTCTCTGGGTTGCGTACACCTCTGTTGGCCATCTCCTGTTACCCCATGTCCCAGCTAGCTCTGGATTTCATTCATGGCCATACCCTCTAGTTTTCTCCTTAACGAGAACCATGAGTCATCAGCCCTCACATAACACTCTGTGCTGCACGAACCTCCAGGCCAAAAGAATTTACTGTATGTGAGGAAATCAGGAAGTTGTAAAATCCAAACAGTCACAAAGAAATTCAAGATGCAAAAAAAATACTAGTTACCAATGATCAAGCAACCAGTTCTGGTTTCCCCTACATCCGGATTCCAATACAACCAAAACCTAACATGTGAAAACTGACACTGAAGATATCTGATAGCATAACATTTTTAATTGTCTTCGGGAAAAGTGACAATTAAAATGGTCAGGCTCAAGTCCCAAACGGCAGCAATCTATTGTCACAAAGTCAAATACAGACTTCTTCAGGAACCAAATAATTTAATGTGATGAATTTTTTTAATCCAAATGTGTATATATATATATATATATATATATATATATATATATATATATATATAAATCAGAGCAATTTCTCAATTTCCCACACAGTATAGGTTGCAAAGAAAATGACATTCAACAGTCTACCCTCCGATGGAAAACAACTCTCACCTGACATTCGATGTACTTCCCTGTGGTGGCAGTGGGGGACGAGATTGCTGTGTAAGGAGGACAAACGGATCTGCAGCTTGAATGGACCACCCTGGTGACTCGGTGCACGATGCTCCTGCAAGGGTCCAGGAAGCACAGGAGAGAAGATCCAAAATGAAAAAACAGAATAAACTGCTTTTTAAAAAAACAAGTCCATCTTAGGTGCCTAAGCACTGAAATATGAAGTTTAAGAACATCGGATTTTGCAATTTGTTTTACGACCATTACACAGACACCAGCCGGCTCAAAAAGCAGATCTGGTTTCATTCCCCAAGGCTCAGAGGGAAGCCAATACACAGAAAGGTCATCCCTTCAGTCAAATTAGAAGCATGGTCTCCCCAGTTGAGCCATCCACTGTCACTGTTTTCTTCAACGATTCTAGACAAACATCGGATAAACACATGCTGATACCCACGAGGACTATCAGGTGGAAATGAACATGGACTAAATAGTAATCCAGCCAAAGCCTAATTTTAATGTGGCATATATTATCTGTCAACAGGCAACTTGAGGAAGGATCATGGAAGAACTTAGCTGGTAGCATACGAGTCCAGTGGGTTACAGAAAAGCAGAAGATGCAGAAGAGCATTTTAACATGTGCACACATCCTCACTAGACTTTCCACCCCAAATCACTTAATGACTGAATGTATGTCTATGTCATTTTCACTTTGCCACAAAGGGTGTGAATGGATGGATGAGAGAAGAAACGGATGCTCCATATACCTTTCCCTCAGGGAGCTTGGTGCCTGTAGTAGTTTTGGGGAAGTAAAGACCTATGCGTAAAAATGGAAGAAGTTGAGGGCTTGATCTACTAACATACCATTTATCCCTACCCATTAAAATTATATTTTTAAACACTGGTGATACCCAATTATCCACATTAGAGACAAAGAACCAGTAGCCCAGCTTGATAAAATAATCCCCAAACTAGGAAACCCTGAGCTGATTTACAGTCTTTGATTGCTGGAGCTGATCCGCACATTTGTTTAGGCTGATTTTAAATTTAGTTTGGGTTTCCTAAGCTCACGCCAGGGAACAGTAGGAAGGAGAAGGCCCAGAATTACACTGGGTGTCAGAAAGAAACTATTCTGGAGCTATGAATTTGATCTCCAATGTGAATAATCTGTAAACAGGTAAGTGAGCCAATTATCCTTGGGTACATGGCAACACATCTCAGTAGTCATGATTATTTTCATCCATACACACTCGCTATTTTTAAGAGCACAGCCCAGCTGGAAAGGAAAATAACTTCTATTTCTTTCCAGCACTTTTCAAAGCAATGAATAGTAGCCAAGGTATTCTTCCTTCTAACTAATCCATTCACCAAGCATTTATTTAAGCATCTATTGTATGCCTGGGACTGCCATGCAAAAGAACTTTTGTAGCCTGTGGCTTCACCATGTGAAATCTGTGTATAAAGAAGGAGGAAAAGTTGATGTCGACTCTAGTGTCCTTTAAATCCTTGGAAGCCACTGTCCCTCCACCAAGAAGTCTGTGGAATTACAAACAGTGGCCAAGTCAAACAGAAGTTCACAAAACTCTCTTGAATCTTAGTGCTTCCTGAAAGCAGAGAGGGAAGTCCTGATTTTACCTGGTAACATCTAAAACGTGCTTCAAAAGACTTTGGTAATCATTTTGCAACAAGTTGTAGGTGCCGTGGATTTGCAGGGAGTGGGGAGTGCTGGGTGAGCTCACAGTTGGGAGAGAATGTTTGCTCATCTATCGACGTGTGTGCACACAATTCTATTTACCTATCACCCGGCAGATAAGATTTTATAGAGTCCAAATTACAGTCCCCTCCCATTCTGCTGAAATGCAGAGAACAGTCAAATGTGATGCAAATGCCGTAAAATATTAATTTACTCTCACATTGGTCCACCTGCTTAGTTCAAAAGGATCTGTGTTGCTACAGGAGTTGGGGTAACACAGAGAGCTGATGTAACTTGTTATAGTCCATCAGAGGGAAGAAACAGGAATAAACACAAGGTGAATTCGTTGCCAAATCACACCAACAGTATACTAGAAACAGTAACCTAGAGGATGTTTTATATGATGATATGCAATAAAAGTGGAATATTCACTACTGCAAAAGCACAGTGGAGCACAAAATACAACACTATTCATAGTGGAAGATGACCAAGAAAGGTGGCCCCAATAATACAGACAGGGTGGGCTATACAGACCAGGAGAGAATGTGGGAGACAGGGCCCAAGCTAAGGGCACAATAAAGGTAACTTTGTTTTACACAGTGTCAGAAATGCACATTCTCTTTGAAGGTCAGAAGCATAGGAGCTTAGAGGTTTAGAGGCTATGGAAATTGTCACTCAAAATTTCTGCTTCCTAACTCCCTCCATAAACAGCACCTTTGACAAAGGAGTTCATCTCAGCTTACACCCAGTCAGGGGGATCCCTGCCCTGTGCAGTCACAAACTCTGATTACACTACAATGAGTATTCTGAAGAGGAGTTTTTAGGTAGGATACAATTTTTGCTTATATTATGGCAATTAGCGATGTTTTTATTACTTCACAAATGGGACGCATTAAAAGTGATAGAAAAATCAATGAAACATTTCTGTTAACATCAAATATATCCAATAAAATATAATGCTCGTTGCTTTTTTGTTTGTAATCATTTAAAACATGTTTTAGTACATGTGGCGTAGTGGTGATATGCAGTATAAATATTTATAGTACATCAGTCTGAAAGATTCAGATTAATGAGGATGATTAAATATATTGCTAACTGATAAAGACCAAATAGAATTATATAATATGAATAGAATTATCAAAGAAGGAAAAAAATTAAAAGTTTCTACAAAAACATATGGTTTACCTTACACAATATTCTTTTCCTTCTGTAAATTTTAAGCATTGATATTTTTAAAAACCTCAAATCCAATTACAGCTTTCAGCCAACATTTTAAAAAAATTATAAAACTAGCACCCTATATATTCATGATTATATTATAGCTTTTTAAAGAAAATTCAAGAATAAATTTATTCCATTAAACTAAATTAAATGAAACTAAAATGTGAACAGGGTCCTTGATGACTCGAAGAGTCATATCTTAAAAACAAAAGAAGTGTGACATGTAAGCCCCAGAACAGAAATCACTACTTCTCTTGGCATTTCTACAACTTACTGTTTTCAATGCATTTTTTAAAATAAGGAGGGACTGATTCTGACTTACCTTGGAAGTATGACCAGAATGAAATCTTCATTCTGGTCATACTTCAAAGTATTTTAGCTACACTGATCTAAATGTTTCACAGAAGCCAAACTATTACAATACTTTGAAAATGTAAAGCAATGCGCATCAAATAATCTCTCTTTCCCTAAAAAAGATAGTCTGTCTTGCTTCACTGTGTCGCTTTACCTAAGCAGACAGTTAAGCCTTTCAGAGTCTAAACTACATTTTCTTTCAGATAACTATGGCTTAAGGAATTCACAACCACTCCTGCATTCACCTACTTCCATGAGTCTCAGGGTTTTAGTAAAACACAGTTATTGACTAACTTCTAATGGGAAACAAAGTGAGCCGGGTGTTAACAATGTGTTAGTCATCAGAAACTGTCATTCAAGGTATGTGCAGAAGCAAAATCCACTTGACATTTCAGAATGGAAAAAAAAAAAAAGAAAGAAAGAAAGGCACCATATTACTCAGAAAGAATGTGAGTCCTTGAACTCTATAATGACAACAGAAACAGGAGCCATAGAAATGTTTACTAATTTTTTAATAATCTCTTAAAGCTGGCCTTTCCCAGGACTCCCAGACAACTTAAGGTATGTTGAAACTTATGGCTATCCTCAGACATTTGACATATAACCTATGAGCTAAAGAGATTTTCTTTAATCTTTCTCTAAAAGGCAATTTAGAGGCCTGAAGCCTAGTGATAACATTTCTAAAAAACTGGTACTTCTGTTTACCAAACCCCTTTAAAACGAAATCTAGAGAGAAAAATATGGTCTTACCCAGTTCTCAATCTAAAGCAAACATTTCTCATATTTTTTAGCATGAATTTGTTTGTGTACTGAAAAACGACAAGCACACGTTTTATGGCAAGTAGACCAATTTTCTGCATGCTGCRAAATAGAATCCAGGACCTCTAAGGCATTGTGTAACACTTAAACTGTGCCTTATTTTATATCCTCACTTCTCCTGTATTTACCTCCCAGAAATAATAGCTCATTTTAACCACAGCAGAGCTTCATCTCACCAGTCATAGTGAATTTACCAACCACGTAAACTCACTAACCGGTAGAAACTCATAAACCCCCTGTGAGGAGAGTTGAGTAGCTCTCAGTCCTGGGAGAAGGGCGCGAGGGTATGATTTACCACTTTAGCTAGGCAGCCATAAAACTGTAAATGGACTAGCAGGGTCACCACTAAATCATCACACTATTATTCTCAATTATTGTTTCTTTCAAATATTACGGTTATTAAAATATTCCTCCTTATTTGGGCTGCCTGAACAGCACAGAGCTTCAACAACTAATGCCACTTTTCTTTTTTTTCCATATTATTATTTTTCTTGGTTTAGCAGTCTTTAAAAGGGGGTGACCTAATGCAAAGACCAGAATTCTGCTCATTAAATTATATCCAAAAATAGAGTGCAAGTTGTTTATGTGTAAAAGCACCACACATTATCAGTCAACCGGCTGCAGGCTTCTATTGTCTTTCTCTCAACTGAGAAAATAATTATTTTTAAATTACTATTAAGGTTCACAGCCAACAAATCCAAAGGAAGAATGAATACATTCAGCCTGCTTGCTTACTGTCAGTACCACTTTTTTAATAATGGCTATAAAATTTTAAGATGTAACAAGAGGGATATACTTATTCCAAATAAGTTACATCCCCCAAATAAAACCTTTAGAAAGCCAGCCAGCACTATAGGCATCTGGGTTCCAAAGGATGGGTATTCTTCACACTTGAAAGGGTTAAGAGCCTGGAAGGCCCAAGGCACTAGACTGCAAAAGAAATGTTGCTTTAGTAAGCTCTGAAAGGTTTCTAACAAGTACCAAATACTTGTTGATCTGTTCACAATAAACACCAGCAGGATTGTCAGGCTCCTTTCACTGTCTGGGGAGATGCATTTACATACTGTACCCAGTAAGAACAGCGTGTTGGTATCCTTTATAAAAGTTGAGTAGAAGCCTCATTCAGTGTCTGCCGTCGGAATGACTGAAAGAAGATGCAATTGAAATAGTGAAGTCTCTCATCTGGCTTGGGCAGCATAAATGCTGTGCATAAAACACTTGGAGTAGTTCAGGCAAACCCACCTGAATGGACGAGGAACACTGTCTGTTGCCATGGCAGCCTGATCTAATTACATGAGTGATCAGGGCTGGAGTAAGTGCAGGGAAAACCTACACCACTGACACCTACCTGCATGATGAGAAAGGCAGGCAGGAGGTTCAGGGGAGCCCTTCAACCTCTGCTTTATGTGGAAGGTGGCATTCAAGCCCATTTATTTGCAGAGCTGCTAAAATATTGACTGATGCATGCACAGTTAGAGGACAATCAGAGGAGATTAAATGCCACTGCATTAGCAGTAATGTGCAATCCCTTTCCAAGAGTTCATGTGTTGGATTTTCTCTTCCACCTCTCCCTTGGCTTCCCCAGGCATAGCTTCATTCCAAAAAAAAAAAAAAAAAAACTTAGGTATAAAACTCCCTTTACCCTCAGATAAATCAGAGGGTGGGTTTAACAGGATCTTCTAAGAACCTCAAGTCCTTTCAGAAACCCAAACACAAGTGACTTAGCTAACACTGTTGAAAAAGTAACCCATTCTGCCTAAAAATAACCAGCAAGTAACTACCCACTGCTGTGTGCAATTTATAACGATGATGTTTAAATATTAAGAACAGACTGCATTATAAAACACAAATGTCATTGAGATGTGACTACTAGATTGCCAAGGGAGAACTTATTTGCATACACACATTCCCATGCATGCACGACAGGATGTGAACGGAGAATGCTACTCTAAGGCATTAGTTTTTATTCTGTGGGTGTAATAGGGTCTTCTAATTTTGCTAATTGTATCCTGTGGATCTCTCAGGGAAGCTAAGAATCTCTTCGGGGACAGAACCAGTTTGGAGGAGTCCCTACTGCACAACATACGGTAAACAAAATAAAAATAGCTTGCCGTTCTTGTTAGCCACATCGCGCATTATATAACCGGCTTCCGACTGGCTTTTTTTCCCCCCCTCCGCCCTTACTACTCTTCAGTAATTTCCCAATCTTCCCAAGTATTTATATTACCCTCTTATCTGTAGGATTATATACCGAGAAAGCAAAACAAAACAGAGCAGCCACGGGATCGAACCGAACCCCACGGTCTTAGAAACTGATTTTCTGTTTTGTTTTGTTGTTTTCTGGCAGTCTTGATCCCCACCCTCCTTCCACCCCCCATTAAGGTTCTTGCTCAACCACCCTAGAAAACCTGAATTGTTTCATGCTTCCAGTCAGCCCCCTACGTGGTCTGCAATAAAATGAAAGCACAAGCCACGGAGTTTCAGAAGGCGGCCTGAGGGCGGGGGGGGGGGGGGGTACAGAGGAGATCGAGGCGCTGCACTGTCCTAGTGGCCACCGAGGGACCCCTCCACGTCGCGATGGCCCTCGCCCCCCGCCCCGGCGCGCGCGCACACACACACACACACACACACACACACACACACACGCGCGCGCGCGCGCACACACACACGCGCACTCACACACTCACGCCGCGCTCAGACACCGCCTCACCTCTCGCTCCGCCCGTCCGGCCCGGGTCCCTGCCCCCTGCGGGACCGGCCTGCGCGCTCGGCTGGAACCACGTAGGAGGCGGCGGCGGCGGCGGCCGCCGCGGGAGTGGCGGAGTCTCCGGCTGGCCCGGAGAGAAGGAGCAGCGGGGCTCCAGGGCGCATCCCAATCCCCGCAGCGCCTCCTCCTCCGCCGCCTCCTCCTTCCCCTCCTCCTGGCTTCATTCACCCTTCCAGTCGCCGCGCAGCCGTTCACTCCCGGTGAGGGCAGCGCCTGCCGCGGCTCCTCTGCTCCTGCCTCGGGCGCTGGCGGGGGCGCCGGCCCGGGCTGGGGCGCTCGCGGGCTCCCAGCTCCGGGCGGCGGCGGCTGCACATGATCAGGAAGCGGCCGCACCAACAGGGCGGCGGTGGCGGCGGCAGCCAGGGCCGCCACTGCCCCTCCTGCCGCGCTCGGGCACCCGCACACCCCTTCCCCCGCGCGGCTGCCCCTCTGTGTCCCAAGCCTGGCATCACCGAGCGCAAAGTCCCTGTCGGATTGCCGGCTCAGTCCCCTCCGCTGCCGAAAACCCGAGAGGCCGGCCTCCGCGCAAAGACCCCGGCCCGGGGCGCCGGGGCCAGGTGGCCACCCGCAGGGAAGTCCAGCCCTCCCCGAGTCCCAGTGGCTCTCACCGCCCCCACCGGGGAGGGGGAACGCGAAGGGGACAGCGCGACCCCCGGCCGCCGCCGCCTCCCCCTGCGCCACCGGGAGGGAGGAGGACATGGCTCTCCGCGCTCGCGGCCGGACCGGCAGCCGCCGGAGCGGGGCGCCGCCGCTGCTCTCCTGTCCGCGCCCCCCGCCCGGGCGCGCCCCCTCGCCCGACGGGCGCCCACCCGGGCCTTGGCAGCCCCCCTGCTGGCCGTCCCTGCTCCCAGAGTGGGGCATCGGCCCGGGAAGCTGGAGCCGGGGACTGTTGTATGTACACACACACACACACACACACACACACACACACAACACGACGCGTCGGTTTCCTTCGCTCCTCTTCCAGCTGTTTTCCGTGCAGCCGATTGGGATTTGGGGTTTGTTTGCTGGTTGTTGCTTTTGCCCCTCTCGGGAGAGCGGGGTGGGGGGTGATTTTAATCTAAATAAGGGGAGAGGGGGAGGGGTAGAGAAAGAATCAGAGGAGGAAAAAAAAATAGCCACTTACTGTAAAGTGTAAATAGATCTGGGGTTGCGTGGGGAAGGGGGACAGAGGGAGAGAAACAATGTCTTGCGGCTGCTGTCGCTCTGGCGGCTGCTCCACGGGGCTTGTTTTGGATCCCCCTGCAGTGAAACAGGTCCTGTACGGCTCCGCCACTGTAGTAGAAATGATGTCTGCGGTATACTCTGCTCTCTCCTCCTCCTCCTCCCCCTCCTCCCGCTCCCCTCCCCTCCCTCCTCCCTGCGCCCGCCCTCCCTCCCTCGCGCTCTCTCGCGCTCGCTCGCTCGCYCGCTCCAGTATGTAAATGTGTAATAGAAGCCAAATATGGAGCAGTTGGCTGCCGCCGCCGCAGCTCAAGGATCCGACTTCATGGGGGGGTGGGGGCACCCTCTGGCAGGCGGCCCGGCGAGCCGCACAGAGCACGGCGAGCGCACGGCGCGGCGGCCGGCCCGCGCCCTTAACCCTTCGCTGCGCGCGGCCCCGGGAGGCGGACCCCGGGGAGGCCGGCGCCAGTTCCAGAGCCGCTGGGGAGCCGGGAGCGGGAGGGGAGACCCTACCCGAGGAGACGCTCCTTCCAGGTTTGAGAAAGGGGCGGGGAGCTGGGGAGATGAGGTAATTTGAGCGGTGACCGGTGCTCTCGCGCCTCCCAGGTCCCTGCACCTAGTTGGAGGGGACCGAGTGACAGCACCGGGTGCAACTCAGGCAAACTGGGGGACTCCCCCAATGGGTGTCAGCCTTCAGCTCCGAGCCAGTGAAATACCCAAGGGGGAGGGGAAGACGGCTAATTCTAATCCCCACGCGCCCTCGCTCCCCGGCGTTCTCAGAAGCGTCTCAGCGGGCTTACTCTGATCGTCAGCTGGAAGTTAACCCTCAAACCGGCGTGGCTTCGGCTTTGGGGAATCCAGACCTCGGGTCCGCCGTGATTGCTTTAGAGTGCAACTCGGGAAACTTTTAAGGGTCCCCCCACCCCCGAGTGCACACGCATCCTCACCTCTCCTGCCTGTGAAAGCTGGTGACCTCCCTGCTCTCCTTTCTTTCTGCAGGTCGGAAAATCTGCTTTGGGCATTGAACTACTGGGCTTGACGACTCGCGCGCTCCTCTCGCAGCTAATTCGGGATCATTAATTTAATCGGAAGTGAGGTAACCGGTGTAAGAGATAGAGAAAGTAAACCGAGCATTAAATGGCAGTTTTCGTGAATCCACGCAGAACTTCTCTGTCCTCAATTGCTAAATGTGGTCCTTAACTCCCCCCCACACCCCGCCCCCTGTGTCAGTCCAACCGCCTAGGCGTGAGCTGCGATCTTCTTTGGAATGCACCTTGCCAACAGGTGTGGCACCTGGAGGAAAAGAGGACACGTCCCTACTAGGGTCGCTCAGTGTGGCATTCTCTTTGCTGCAGATAGTTCTGGAAGGCCAGTAGGTGTCAGGGCAGCATTTGACCTCCTTCAGGTGCTTAGAACCAAGTGTCTAGAAACCTGATCCCTGCGTTTCTCTCGGGAAGCCGCCACTATTGACTGTAAGCTGTATTGGAGAGACCTTTTGGCTGAGTCTGCTTATGACCTAACAGTTAGTCACCAACTGAAGCAGGATACAGAATCAGTAAGAGAAATGTGTCAGCTTTTAAACAACTCTGTAGTGTTATGAGCCAACGCGCTTCAGAAATAAAAATAAGCCTACTAACGAGGAAGGTGTAGAACCCCGGAAATGTTGCTTCTCACATTTTGGAACGCCATGCACATATACATGGCTACTTAAATAGAACTACTACTGCTCGCTCTCCCTCGTTTCTACAACTTTTTTTAAATTTTTTTTTTTTTTTTAAATCACTGATTGTTAGGTTTAAACCTCGGGTTGTGCTAAAATGACATTGTTGGTCTCATTACAGCCTCTAGTGGACGGTTAACATCAGTTTCCTGTAAAGGCTCTGCCTGGTTTTGTTTTCGTTGACTTGCTTTATCGAGGTGAAGGTTAATAGTTCAGAACAAAACCGGGTAACACACCACCCCACCCCCTGCTTGGGCTTTGCCACTTCTGAAAGGAATAGAAGCTTGTTGACTCAGCATAGAAGAGGTATGGGTTGTGCGGCAGGTATTATTATTATTATTATTATTGCCGGCCTGTGAATAAACAGAGCTTCTGCTATTCGTTTGAGTTTCAGACAGCTTTCATAAAAAAAAAAAAAAAACCAAATTCATCTAAAATATTTTTATAACAGAAAATATTGGTTGCCATGTTTTTGGCTTCTCTGAGATGTTTTTATTCCAACTCATAATCTGCAAACTGTCCAATCCACCTCCACTCTATTTTTAGACATCTTACATTTAGAGAATTTTCAGGGGAATAAAAGCTAATATTGTAATTATTACCTTGGCACACGCAGTTAATTTATGTTATTTTAACAACCTTAAACATATTAAAACACATAATTCAGATTAGAGTTAGTCAATTAATTTAAATGTTCCCTTAAGGAAGCTAAATATGTATATTACCCAAACAGTAACAACAATTAATAAGAATTATGACATTTGCTTTCTTAGCCATTAAGATTAAAGCCATAAACTGTCATTAAAATCTATAACTATTTCTTACTGTGAGAAGAAAGATTATCTTACCATGTAGTAAGACAGTCTTCTCAGAAACCTGACCTTAAGTACATACTAGGATAAACCAGCCTTTGAAAGGAAAGGAAATTGGGGGATGAGGTCTTTGGGGCCTTCCTCCTCCCTGTGTTTTGGATGGCTTAAACAACATGGAAAATAATTTTAATCCCTTTTATCTATTTTGTGAATATCTACTTTTGAAGGTTTAAAGGGGGCCAACAAGTATGTATTAGAATATATTATTTTATGTTACACACTTACTTTTTAACAGGCAGTACTCAGATTAGCAGCCGGGGCACCAATATCTGAAAGATTTTTTAGATTTTCAGAATTAAGGGTTCCCCCCCCAGGCCTGTGAAATCAGAATCTACCTTTCAGCCAGCCTCCCAARGGACTTCTGCAGAATAACATTGGCCTATACTACAGGGCTATGTCTAGATTAATTTGGCCATAGACGCATAACTTACTTCTTCTATTTTTCCCCTTTTTATTAATTAATTTTTAAAATTAAGTTTTCTTATTTAAAAAAAATCACATTAGTCAAATCATTGCAACCTCAGTCTCTCAATCAACTGGAGATGAAAGAAAAAAAAATGTACTGAACAGGTTCATACTTTTTTTTTTCCTTGTCATTAATCCCTGAATAAGACAGTGTAACCATTATTACATTGCATTGACATTGTGTCCGGTATTATAAATAATCCAGAGATGATCTGTAGTCACAGAAGGACATGCTAAGGTTGCATATAAATACTGTGTGGTTTTATGTAAGAGACTTGAACATCCCAGAATTCAGGAATTGAAGAGGGGTCCTGGAACCCATCCTCCCAGCCAAGGGATGACTATATATGCTTTGTAGAAATAGGACGGTATTCCAAAAGGGCCCTGATTCATGCACATGTACACATCATCATTGCCAAAAGAAACTGCCAAGTAGCTTGCTGGGGTCTTGAATAGGAACTTTTTTTTTCACAGCAGCAGAGGGAGCACAAGAGTTCTCAATGTAACCAGGCCCTTTTCAAATTGCTACAGATTTTAAATTGTAGTGTATGTTTTCATGGAAGGTAGCATGTTATGTAGCTCAAACAAAGCAAAATAAAACAAAACAAACAAGCAAATTCAAATAGCTTACCAGTTTGTAACAACTAAATAATCGAACCAGATTGTAAGTTAAATAAAATAAAGATATTAAGAGTTTTAGGCTTGAATTCTTAAAAGGACCTCAAAAGTCATGTTTAGAAAAGATACCTTAGCTTTTCTCTAGTCKAAAATAAAAAATAAGGCAACTCTAAGAAAAGTGTATTTGGAAATGGAGTCAGTCCCCCCCAACACTGCAATAGATAAATTAAACAGAAGCCAATCTTGGGGGTGAAAGTTTGTACACTTTTCACAAACTTTAGGGCATTTGTTCTTAATGCTTACAGTGGTGAGAATTTATGTTTCAATTGTATTTATGTAGCATTTTACACTTTTTACAGCTCTTCCTTATTGTATCTTTAAAACTTCATGGAGGTGGAGAAGACACATATTACAATCCAGGCCTCAAAAAAAGTATGGGTTCAGATTCTGCTTTCCTAACATGGAATCACTGAGTTGTTCCAATAATCCCAAGGTGTTTGCAAGTGGAATGAATCATAAAGGGTAAAGATTCCCTAACATGCTTCATCTTTTTACCATTGACAAAGCATATTAGGGGATCTTTAGCCTCTAACATGCTTTAAAAGTTCCTATAGAGTGGATATTTAATAAGTATTTCAATGAGATTAAGAATAGAAATGATGTCTTAAATTGCTTTTTATGTATTTATCATTCCTTTTTCATCAGTTACTTGTTGCATATCAACAGTAAGTAGGCCTGAGATCACAACATTCAATAAGATATCTTAATTTTCAAGGAGTACAAAGAACAAAAAAAATCTAACCTTTTAAAAAAATGTTAATTTTTCCCATGGTGAAACACAAAAATCACAGTTGATTGATCCATTGCTTTTCCAGATCGGATCAAACAGAGTTCCAAATATGAGAATTAAACACTAGCATCATCAAAAATTTGGGAGGCAGCAGGCAATGGTCTAACTCTTGAGCAAGATTTGACTTACAAGCTAATGCTAACATTTCAAATTTGTAAGACAAACAAAATGCAAAGATAAAAATGTGCATTTTTATYGAATGCCTCCTCTATCAAAAAAAATCACATAAATTACAGTGGCAAACATTTATTTATTTTTATCATTTAAAAATTGTTAAAAAGAATTTCCTCCCACACTTTGGGATCCATTTGCCAAGTTTCTGCCTGGAGCAATTTGTTATGGCTGTGTAATAAATCCCGGAAAGTTTGAATTTTTAGTGGAAAGACTGGCAGAACTTTCAGTCTTCTATTAGAAGGAGGGTGTAATCTAATGTGTGTCATTTAAAAACCCGAGCAAACCRTAGTGTGCTTGCAAAACAAATACTCTTTCCTTAGAATTGCACTTCCAAATAAACCTAGGGAGACCAGAAAAGTAAAACAAACTAAAAAGAAAAGTGAAAACCATTCACATAATAGACTCTGAGCTCAGCTGGCCACACCCAGGC